CGCGAAGAGGCGAGGAGCGAATGCGGTTCGTCCCGTTATCCGCGCTTCCAAACTCATTCCGGACCCTTTGTTCCATTCTCGCGTCTCCACGCTTCGATTTTCTCTTGTTCCGAAACTCTTTCGCTCGATATCCGACCGCACTCTCCGTCTTTCTCCCCGCCGCTCGAAGGAGACTCCAATCTGATTGACTTCGAGCAACGTCGAAAGGCGGTTGCCGCTCGACTGAAGGGAGAAGCGCGTCGTCGGGAGAAATTTCATTAGCCGCGGGAAACTTCCCGACAGGATGCACCAAGGGACGACGAGTGAAAGGGGGAGGGGGAGGGCGGATAAAAGGCATTGTCCCTGTGTCGCGAAGTGGTGTTCGACTCACCCGCGGCTGCAGCCGAGTATAATCGCGGTCCATTCGAATGGATAAGCCCCGGCGAACTCGTTCGCCCCTCGCCCGGTCGATGAAACTTTCAATTACATTACGTCGAGGTGAAAAAGGGCCTTCCTCTCATCTCCCCCTTTCGCAGAGCGGGCGGCGTTATGTCGCGCCTGCTTTAAAATTCCGAGTGAAACACAATTGCGGGACGCGACGGGCGCCTGTCCGTTAATCGAAAACGATGAATAAAACACGGAGCGCGCGGGAATGAAGGAAAAGAAACGGAAACGTCCGATCTGCGCGTGAACGCGTGTGGCGCGACGCGCCATTACGCTTCCATAAGTCAAACTCGCGATCCCGTTTTCCCATTTTCCCTTCGTCCCGTTCGGCGCGCACCGGCTTCCTTTGTCGTCGAGTTCGTCCGCTTTTCCGCGCGTCTCTTCACCCCTCCGCCCTTTTTCACAGCGCACGCGAAATATCGCATCCGAGTGAATTTATCAGCAAGAGGATAAACTCCGCGAACCTCCACGCGGCTCGCTGCCATTTCCTCCATTCTTGTCTCCGAGCGGCCGGATTTATCGGCCTCGCGCCCATTGCTCCCCCCCCCCTCGCCCCTCCCGTCTCTCCGGCGCTCGTCGCCGGAAAATTACGCGGAAGCACTCGGAAACCTCGTGAGATCCGGGGCCGGCCTATAACGGTCGTCGTAGCTTCTCGCAGCGCCGGAAACGCTAATGCATTGCCTCTGAATTTTTCAGGCGCGCGCCGCACAATCGCGATGCTGCTGCGGCGATATCCGGAGCTGCGTCTCTCACGAGCGGGGAGCATCAAGCCGGAGCTCGGAAAAACGAGCGTGAACGGTGCGAGTTTTGCCGAGAGTAACGCGTCGGAAAAATTACCGGCGGAGTAATTCGACGCGGAAAATTGTGCACGCCACGCTATATTACGGCTAACGGTGAATATTTTTTCGATCACAAGCGACGATTAAGCGCGCGAAAAAATGTTTTTCTACTCCGCCGCGCCGGGCCGGGCCGCTAAATTCCGAGCGTTCTCGCTGACCGTTGTCAGCGAAGCGCTTCCGCTGGAAAGTTTCGAGAGAGTGTTCGGGGCGCGAGAATGCTCCCCCGAGTCCATTGTCTCCCGGGGACAACACGCGCGTCACGGCATGCGATTCGCGCCCGAAGCACTCGGAGCGATACATCCTGCCTATCGTCGGGTAGCAGCCGGAGACGGAAGAGAGGGAGAGAGAGAGAGAGCGAGGACGGGTAACAGGTGAATGAGGAGGGACCACGAGCGAAACGAGGGGAGGTGGACGCCGGAACGGTATCGGGAGAAAAGTGGTCCATTGCGGCCTGACGCGGAAATAATGCTGACCGGTCCGATACGGACGGAGTCGCGATTTCCAGGGGTCGATTGACGGCTGAAAAATGGCCGAAAAATCGCCCGAACTTTAAAAAACAAAAAAAAAAAAAAACGCGAGTGATGCATGCATTTAGCATGGCGTGTTTCGATCGCGTGTGACAGCAGTTTGTTATTTGGTGTGTTGTTTCGGAGAACACGATGTAATATTTTGAAAGTTTCATTAGCTTTGTTTATTACACCGTGGAAATGTTATTAATTTAATTTCACTTTGCTGAATGAACATTTTAATTTTATATCGCGCTTCGTCGTGTATTCTTCGTACGCCGAATAATATTTATCGATGGCTCCCGAATTTGTTTAATTAGCATTACGGTACTTTCGCGGAATTGCAACTCAAAATGTACAATGTAAGGGGAAAAAGAAAAATGATTATCAGCTTCGGAAAACGGTTGTATTAAATCACAATCATTAGACGATAAACAGACACAAACATGCTCTTGTTTTCTAAGAAATATAATTACGCCGTTGAATTTTAATCAGAAGTATAATTAAGGGTACAATTAGAAAATATAATTATACCGTATTATTTCATAGGAGGATAAGCGTGGGGGCTCAACGCTTATTCACTGTTACTGATTATTATGATTTCAGGAATTGCATTGTTACGCAACATCGCAGTCTATTTTTAGAAGATTACAATGATCTTAGGAAAGATAAGCGGCACAATGATACGAGGTAGATAAAGTGGCAATTAGCGCAAGATACGCGTGGAACAGACTCCCCGAGATTACGAGCTAATGAAGCACAGAGCGAAGACAAGAGCCTTCGTGGCGTGGATGATGAAGAAGCTGCGCAGAGGAAAGGATCGGAATACAAAGGCAAACGAGCAAAATGAACGGGTAGTCGGAGAATCTCGAAAGGATGGCGAAACTGACTCGCGAAAATGATTTAACCGTATTGCGCGATCAAAAATTCAATATTCTTATTGAACTCAACATCCCCGCGCAGCATTGTGCTTTTGGCAAAACGCACACGCTATTAATTACGTGGAAATAAATAAGCGCATGACTCGATGACAAGTAAGATCTCATCGGACGGCGTAAAATAATTCCACGTCATAATTATTATTTAATGCGAATTATTCCGAGCATTAAGCGCGTGTCATCGCTACGTCGCATTTGAAGAGCGGGGCGGAATAAAAGAGCCCTCATCAAAAAACAATTTCATAATGCCGGGCTCCCACGAGATGCATTCCGACATTACGCGATATAATTACAGCGCCGTCCGTACACTTCCCGACAATTACGGCGGAACGCCCACGTGGTTTCTCTAAGGTCTTCGGCGACGTTTCGCGAGAGAGGGGGGCAATTTCGCGCGACTACCTGTGCCCCGTTGCGTTCACGAGAGATCCGTAACTCAAACTCCAATTCAGAAAGAACAACATATCTGGCATGTTTGCTCGGGTCTGCCTCACGCTGGGAAAATATTTGCGAATACTTGCTTTCGTGTGGTTAACTCGTTCCTTATCTAGCTATGAACAATCCGGAATTATTCACGAAAATTCACCACGGCTCAAGTCAGAATAGGATTGTTGAAGCGAGAGAGAGAGAGAAAAACAGATTCGCATAATCTTGAAAAGAGGAATTAGGAATATCGTTCCGCGTGAAACGAGTGTAACGGAAGATCGCCACGGAGAGGAAAAAAGCGGCCTGAGCACGCTACTTTCGCGGAATAATGCGAGCATTATCGACCCGGCGAGGAAAGGAAACGCCGCTTTAATCTCTCATTAGTCTCGCGGCTAACGCGGGGCCCGGCACGCGCTGCCAGAAGTGAATACGCGAAGTCGGTATTCGACTCGAGCCATTTTCTGCCGATTTACAGCTACATTTTCAGCGAAGAGCGGCTGATATCCATTTCGGATTCGTGAGAAACCGAGGGCGATTAGAGTAACTGTAATATTACGATTGCATTGTACTCGTGATCATCGTAATTATAATTGAGACTCAATTATATTAACTATGATAAACTATATAATCACAATGTGCGCAATGCGCGTTTACCGCTATTCCGAGGCTGGGAGCGACGCGAGATTACTCAACTTACGCAAGTATTGCTCGTAGTAACACTTGCGTAACAGTGAACCTTATAAAAATAAGTCATATATATTTAATACACACGCGGGAAGGTAGCGCATGCATAATAATATACGAAGGGTTGATGACAAAGTCACGTAACTTTCACATACGTTGCACGCGCGTTACATCAGTTAGAGCAACGTGCCTCGACATTTATTTGCTCCAATAAGCAACAAAATGCTAAACGTTTATTACAAAAACAAGAAACAATTTCCAACAGATGAAAAACATTGACATTATATCCGTCATTTCTCTCGCGTGTGCGTTCATTGCATTTCTCTCGAATGCAACAACTTTTGACTGTCTTTTATTGTTTGGAAAATGTATTTTAATCTTTCATTTCCATCGCTTTCGGCAATAAAATTGTGTCGCAGTTTCCTCTTTCCATCTTAATTGAAGAGATGCAACGTGAATATTCTCTACAGCGCTTTTGATGACTTCAATTGTCAAGCGCGCATAATATCACGCCTATGAATAAATGACACAGTCTGATAACTACGACGTGCTATGCGAGCGATGCAGCGCGATATATCGACGCCGGGCGACGACGCGCTATCGATCGCACGCTCATTTATAGACCGAGAAGCGTTGAATACAAGTGCGGTATCGTAAAGATGCCGATCGCAGATTCCAGAATGCGAGGCATTCGAAATATAAGCCCTTGTAGTCACGCAGGATGGCCTGCTGCTCGGGGAAACAAAGCGGGCGCCAGAGAAATCGATCTGTCTGCCCGATGGAGAAGTGGCGGAGAGCCGGCGAACCCGACCCGTAAAAGTCAGTGCACACACCGTTCAGAGTTTCTCAGTCGGAGTCTATAGACCCTCAGGATGTTGACCCGCGACACGGCTTCCCCATTCGAAGGCAATAAAAATCCCGACCAACGCCCGTAAAATTACGCCATATCGCACTGACAGACTTGTCCGAGAGAAAAAAAAAAATGGTGGAAACCATTTTTCCACTCGTTTCGAGACACCGTGCGCGCGTACAAGACTGAAGCGAATCTTTATTTATAATTCCGTTAATTTTCACAAGACCCATACGTAAAGAATGAGATTGAATGAGATTGAATGTCAAGGTTTCCGAAAGTAATCGATCATACGATGTTTATAATTGTAATATTATTTGCATTAATTTCAACGTGCGCTACACCGAACGTATCGTACAATATGTCCTTTCGTTCAAGTCCAGATGTTACGCTAAAACCATTTTTCAATCGGACAGATCGTGATTGCGTTAAATAAAAAAACACTAAAAAAGAGTATATCGGCTAAAAGTGTACATTGTTCATCGTGCCTTATAATTAATGATCCATACATCAACGTTTGACCGCGATTATAGCGCAAATAACGGCATTTAACGCGCACACGAGTCTAGCGTTTCAAGGTGACAATTCAAACAGTCACGAACTACGTGGAAGGATTTTGCCTTTTCAGGCCGAGTCAATCATCGAAGCTAACAATTGTGTACACTTCGAGAATTTTTGATACATTTAAGCGGCGTATAAAATAAAATAAATAAGGATTGAGAAAACGTTTTCGGTAAATCGAAGATGACTTAAAATTTGGACAAAAAAATCTATCATTAAAATTTAACTGTAGAATTTTTGCACACTCATACGTTAGAATACAATTTAACGGTTTCGAATGTTGCCACTGAGATGTTCTTGAAAGAAAAAAAAGTACGAGTTGCGACAAAAATTGGATGACTTACCATTTCCGGAGTTGTGGATAGCTTTGATGGCCTTCTTAAGCTTCGTGAGACCATCTCTATCGAAATCCAAGGTCTGAAACAAGGACATAACGGTTATGATATGACGAAGCATGTAAAATGGTAATCTCTTAAACCACAAAGTTTTTTGTGAGTCAGACTGTTATCCAATACGGCCGGTTTCACGTTTTAATCAACAGTGAATTGTATCGTGCGGGCGACGCGAATATAAAAGATATTTCATGGTTTTTTTTCTATAAATAAAGAAATTTGAATAAGATAACATAAATAAGATACGAATAATATACGAATAATATAAATAAAGAAATCTGAGATCTTATTAAGATTTAATTGTTTTAATATTAAATATTTTAATATTTTATTATATACAGATTATATTATAAAATAAGATTAATTAATTAATAATACTTAATGCTCTTATTCTGCTTATTTATTTAAATACACAAAAATTTTATTTTTAATTAGAGTCGGTGTTTTCGCGATTCTTTTTGATGTAAAAAAGGAACTTTTTATTAAAATACAATTATTTTAATTATTAAAAATTTAATTATTTTATATACATATTATGTTATAAAATTATAACATTTATTTAACAACGTTCTCACTCTCCTCCTTTATTCAGGGCACAAAGCTTTTGTTTTCAATTGTTGACAGTGCCGTCATTTTTACTTCTCAATGCAATTTTTTTTTCTCGCGGAGCTTCAGAAGAATAATTCTGTATTCATGAATACCGCATATAGTCGTCTGAATTTCACGAGTTATATTTTTCGCGGGGGTTATAAATCCGGATGTGTCTTTCACACAAATCCGTCACGGATTCATGAAACCGGACGTCCGGCTGGCACCCTACGTGATATGAACATAGTTTTATAAACCGTTCAGTCAGATTACAATCGTAATGATTATCGGCATTTTCATCGCGTATTTAGCATTAAACGATACAATCATCCGGAAGTGACTTTATTTAGCATACATTTGGTTGTTTTTTTATCTCGGTTGCGCGACGTCTGAATCACCGGTCTTGCATTCGCGTGCAGTGCACGACGTTGCATCTTCGCGGGCCAAAACAACACTCACGGTCGCGTCGCGTTTTATTTCAGCACAGACGGGAAAATAAAGCAGACACAAGGTGACGCAAAGCGTGCAAAATATAACGATATCAGGAATCAGGAAGACAATATCCAATCGAACGTATATTCTTTCCGTCCCAATTTCTTTTTCTTTTTTCAAGTATAAATTGACAGTCTACACGTGTTTTCATATTTTACAGAAAACACAGACTAAATGTGTGATAAAATTCAGTAAAAATATCGGACAAAAAATATTCTCTTTCTTGTTTTTGGAATTAATTGCAACTACAAATATCAAAACGTAATCCAATTTTAAAAAGAAGAGGCATTGAATATCCATTATTATTATATCTATTAAATCGAATAATAATCGTCTCATAAGTACGAAACAAAGCACGGAGGAAAAAAAGAACGCGTAAAGGAAAATAATATAGAAAGAGGAGGTGGAGCAAAAGGATCGAGCTGCACGATGATCGAGGGCGTCTGGACGCGCCGAGAATTCGCGCGGCGCAATAAAAACGCCGGGGATGCTATACTGAAATAGCGCCGACCGACGACGACAAATACCGATAAGAGTTTAATAAGCGAGCGCGAGGAACGCGCGCGTGATTAACGCGCGATGCGGCGAATAAATTTAATGCGCAGCGGTGTAATGAACAGAGTGCAGCGGTTGCGGTACCGCCGCTGCGAGATGCGTGCGATTATCAGTGCATCCATTTTCCGGTGTTATTCGAGAGTGGGCTCCATTAGAGTGGACTGTTTTATCTCACTAAATTTCCAATATCGAAATATGCGGCGCGATATTTCTAAAATCGTATCATAAACATGAGAAAAATATCAGTAAAAACAGACACGTCGCACTAAATATTAATAAAATAAATTATTTTCAACAATAAAAACTTTACGTGTTTTATCAATAAACGCTCTGTATTGCTTTGTTTCACGATTTTGTTTTCAATTTTTCAACTGTGATTAATCTTCTTATTTACTACGCATTGTAATACTCCGTATTATTTTAACAAATAAATAATATTTAGTAATCACTGGTCTTTTTTCGTTTAATTAATAAAAACTCGTTAATTATTAAAATTTTGATTTCGGAAACCCGAATGCGAACGTGCGCGCGACGCGCAGCGCCGTTTCCGTCGCAGTTGTCCAATTATTTTCGTCCGCGCGGGCGCGCGATTGAAAAGAAATCTGCGTGAAAGAAATAGAATATGTTGCCGGTCGGCCTTGCCGGATTCTCTCCCCCTTGGCACTCGGGCCGTGCGGCCGCGGCGATGCGTTTCGCCGTCCTTGAGGCTCTCGGAGAAGGTCGCGCGCACGAGACCGCAAAACAAAACGACTCCGGTCTTTTGCCCGGGATCGGGGATTCTCCGCCTCACGCCCCGAAACCTCTCCCTTCCCCTCTCCCTGCCCCGACCCCTCCGGCCCAAGGAACCGGACGAGGAAACCGGGAAGAATCTCGTCTGTGTTTGTGCCTTTGGGATGTGGGCCTCACGTCGCGCGCGCAGATACACTCAAAAAAATGATCTTGCAATAATAGCTAAAATTTTCTAGGTGTAAAAAATTAACTAAAACAGATAAATGATTAGCAATTGTTGTGATATTGCATATGTAATTACTTAATCAGTTTAGATGACAGAAACAGAATATATATCTGTATTGTTTGTGAACTTTAAAAAGAAAGTTTCTCTAAAGCGCCTATCTATATAAGATCAATCACGTGTTAGATCATGCAATGAATAACATTTAGCAATGGTACCTAAATTTTTCAGAAGCTATTGCTAGAACATTATTGCTATAAATTCTATATGTGACAAACAATGTTTTCACAGATACGAAAAATAGCGATACATTCTTGTTGCGATATCTAGAAATCTAACTACATCAGCGAAATATTTTTTTGAGTGTAGGTAAAACGGTACACCGTGAAGGATGCTTGAGCGTAACGAAACGAGGGGATTCGTACATTTCGTCCCGAAAAAATTCCATTTGCGGAATCCCGAATTTTCGTGGCAAAAGAAAGCGGGGAAAAAGCATTCTCTAATGGAATAACGCTATCGATGCGAATAATTAATATCTGTTAAAGCACGGCGACGGTGATAAATGGGAAACCGGGTTAATCGAAGAGGCATTTCGGAGAATGTGATTTTATATAATGCAAGGAAGAGACCTGATAATTCTTATCAGCGGCTATGTAGCGTTATCTGATGAACAAAATTAATGAATCACAGATAGCCGGACGCTTCGACAAGCATTTCGATCGTTAGAAATATTGTGAGATCAATGGAATCGAACTTCAAATGAAGGAAAGTATAGTCGTAACAACTATAATTTTAATAACTATAAATAAGTTATTGTAAAAAATCACTATCCTCCGTAAATGATGATACAAAAGAGCTATTGCCGCGTACACACAGAAAAATATCATTCTATTGCTAAGAAAAGTAATTACTCGGCTTACTTTTCTTTTTTTAAGTAATAATTATCTTTAATAAAGAATATTTTCTTGATAATAGTCTTAAAATATACTCGAAAGAAGTAATTATTTTTTGGTGAAGAATATTATAAAATTGTATCGAAGAAAAGTCAGATTTGGTTAATTTAATAAGCAAATGGAATTCTTTTTCTAATTTAATATTCTTGATTGAAGTATTTAACTTACTGGGATCAAAATATATTTTGAATAAATTTGATGCTTATAATGAACTTACGATAGATTTGCGGATATATAAACTTATAAAATACTTAAAACAAGTAATATTTACTTAAATACTGTATGTATTTTTCTGTGTGTAAAAATAACATTTCATATTGTAAATAAGTGAGTCACATTATCGTGACTAATTTTCTTTCGAGCGTCGCGATCAATGAGGATAAATTCGATCGCATTCGGCGAATCATGTGACTCGAGGCATGTGCCAACTCCGCGTAAATCGAAGATAGGCACGTGTGTCCCGCCGGGCAATAATTAGCCACGATGGCGGCCGCGTGCCTGCGTAACCTCGCGTTCGGCTGTAATTGCCCTTCTCGCTAATTAATGCGTACTATGAGGTACGAGCGTGTGCGCAAAGGTTACGCTGCTGGCGGAGAAGCCGGCAGCATATGGTATACGGTATCGGTATACGGGGTGTCTTGGGAATCGATCGTCTTCGCGGGCACGACTTTACGTGGCACCGAGCGCTCCGGAAACGATCTGACGTGGTCGTGACAGCCATACAATTGCGTCATTTTTTATTTAAATAGATTCTTCGAGAAATTTTCTTCAAAATTAGATATTCTTTGAATAAGAGACTCCTCCCTCCTTTTTCTTCGATCAGAGAGAATGTTGAAAATCGTTTTACTATTATTATCTTCTTTTATGACAAATTTTAAGTATATTAATGTTTTCAATACACACGTATTTAAATTAATATTTTATTAGATTACTATATGCGGTGTGATTAATATTAGCTCGAATAATGACCATTAACATATATTTGAACGATTAATTTGCAATACTGTCAAAGAGAAAGATAATAAGATAATTGTGGCATTCTCATCTTTTATTCCGCCATTAATTTGCTATGGTTATTATACGCCGTATTATTATAAACAGGAAATTTTTAATGAATCCTACGATATGTAGTATGATAATATTGATCATATCCAACCGAATAACATCATATTTCCTTTTTGCAGCTACACGAGATCCGGAATCTTCAATTTACTAATGAGATTGCTCGTGATATCCGTAATGAAAGATCCATGGAGCTTTCTATGTATGATATCAATGTATAATAAAATCAATGTATAATAAAATAAACAGTCGCGGTATAAGTAATTTGTATTCCATTTACATCGTCGAAACGTACAAATTATTTGTCGACGTGTACCTTCGGTCTGAAATATACAATTGATTCTTTTATTATCAGAAAATTTCAAGCGTATTTCTCATCATTATTACGCGTTTTGGTTCTTACTTGTCGTTTACTTAATCTTC